ATCTGAGTTGTGCCCACCACGGGCATCGAAACCAGGTTTTAGCGATTTAATAAGCCGTCAGATTTAACGCTGAGCCACCGAGGGCGGGGGGGGGGGGGAGAAAAGAGCGAGACTGATAAAATAACGACTTAAGAATGTTTGGTGGGACAGGGATTCAAACCCGCGGTGGATTTAAGAATGTCGTTATGATTGTTTTAAGAGCAAAGCTACACATTTGGCTATCTGTGCTCTGCCCACAGCTGGGAAATCGAGCCCCAGATTTGAGCATTATAAGCCCGTAAACTTATTGCTGATGTCTTACTTTGTTCAAAATATAACACGATCATTGTTTGGCCCTGTTTAAGAATGATATGAAAGACTTGCGAAACGAAGTATATTTTTTATTTATTTAAAGAACAATATGAATAATGTCTTACCTGAGGATAGAGATCGAGGTTCTTTACCGAAAGTATAATCTTTGATCTCACTATACCAGCTGTCTACTGGAACTTTCCCTGTTTAGGAAAATGTCAAAACCAAAATCTGTATTGCATATTTGAGATGATTTAAAAACCATGATAAACAAACAATATATTAATATAGATTAGAATACATGCGTAACTTAAGTCTTACTTAACCATTAAAAAATCAATGTAATAAGTAATGAATATAGAGCCAAAACAACAACAAAAAACGAGGGCGACTTTTTGAAATCTATATAACCAACAACAAAAAACGAGGGCGACTTTTTGAAATATATATAACCAACAACAAAAAAACGCAGATCGACTTTTTGAAATCTTCGATCTGCGTTTTTTGTTGTTGGTTATATCTTTTTGAAATCTGTATAACCAACAACAAAAAACGCAGATCGACTTTTTGAAATCTGTATAACCAACAACAAAAAACGCAAAACTGTTTAACACTTCATTGTCAATGATTTGTTTTGGGTCAAAATTTAAATAATGTATATCTCCAGAAATAAACAAAATTCGTCCGAGATCCGTATACTGCAACTACTAGAGTGTTTGTTTTATAATTTTTGGGGCAAAGCAAGCTACTCAGAGGACTCTCTATGCATAGCCGTTCCTAGTTTTTAACTGATAGACTAGAGGAAAGACAGCTAGTCAACAGAACCCTCCGCCAATTCTTGAGCTACTCATGTCTGATTGAATATTGGGATTTGACCGTTACTAATACGGCGCATCCACGGCCCTAAAGCACGGAGTGCGTTTTTTCAGTAATACGGTGGCGAATTATGAATTCTCGGATTCTGAGTCAGAAAACGCTAACAACCAGACCACTCTCGGACCTCGATTATTTGAACAATGTGTAACGATATACAATAGCGTGAGGTATCAATTTCAGGATTTTCTTTTATTTCTTGTGAACATTCAAAGGTTTACAGTTACCAGAGATTTGGACTGTAGGATCAGAAGACCAGCTCATGTAGATATTCTCTCCATACTTGCGATCACTACGATGCTGAAAGCTGTCGGTCTTCGCTAGATGGTTAGCCCACTCTTGAGCATAAGAACACAGCTGAAACGAAAACATTTTTATGTTTATTCTGGAACGTTCTAAAGTTATCCAAAAAAACGTATTTATCTGTTTGGTGAATTTTAAACAAAAGCTCTAATCATACCTAATTTGGAATTGATAGACTAAAGGGAAAGCAGCTAGTCAATACTACACGTCGCCAATCCTTGGGTTATTCTGACTAAATAGTGGGATGTAATCTCCACTCTTATAACGCACCCATGGCTCTAAAGTTTATAGCATGATATCTTGTTTGGGGTAACGAGGTGCGAACCACGGAATCTCGGATTCACAGTCCGAAAAGGTCACCACTGGGTTGCCCTCAGTACCCTATTTTCGAAGCTTTAGAATAGGGCAGTAGTTTCTTTGAAAAATATTTAAGAAGTAAACGCCATAGGCTAAAAATTGAAGGCAGTCTCGGTGAGTTACCAACGTATTCGACGTCCTGTTGACTCACCCTCGAATTATTTCTTTTCTTTGTTTGTTGTTAAGCACAAAGCTACACAGTGGACTATCTGTGCTTTGCCCATTCCTGGTATTGAAACCCGGTTTTTAGCGTTACAAGTCTTCAGATAACCCGCTGAGATACTATTTATTTTGATTTACCTTTTCATTAACTCTTTAAAGGTTTGTTTTTATCTAATTATATGCTTCAGGATTATAGCAATGGCTCAAAGGTCTGACTAGGGGTAGCGGTAAAAAAAGGGTCGTGAGTTACTGAAATTGGGGAAAGGAAGCTAGTCAAGACGACCTACCGCCAACTCTTGTCTAGAGATGGGTCAAATAGTAGTTTGTTCGGCTCCTGATATCCAATTGGATGGTAGATATATATTGAAAATGTATCGCAGATGTAAGCTGCCACTGACATTGCTCTTTAAGTTATCCCCTTACTTCTGAAAAGCCCCCCCCCCCCGGTAGCGCAGCAGTAAGTTTGAGGGTTTATAACATTAAAACTCGATACTCTCAGCGGAGATAACATAAATAGCTCATTGTTTAGCCTTGTGCTTAACAAGAAACAAGTTTCACACACACTTGTTATTATTATTATTTTTTTAATTGCATTTTCCTAGAAATTTTGAAGCGAGTACGTGGAATCATAGCTGTCAGGACTAGCTTGGAAAGACATCTCTTATCAGTTTAATTTTATATTCAACTTAAACTTTTTAATGGCTTCTTCCATTGCTCTGAGATATTGTATTTAATACTCAAGCAGTAAACTTTATATGGAGCAACGAGTAAATTAATTAAGCGTAGAATAACAACATGAAAACTAGTGTGAGGGCGTTCCTTTATTTGGTTTCGATTTCGATACTGTTCATTATACATAAAAAAGCGAAATGTTAATCTGTTTTGTAAGATGATCTCTATATTCAAACATTGTATCGTGGTTCATAAAATCTGAAACTGTACTCGCGACTGAACAACTGCGTCAGAATTTAAAATATAATCTTCGCCAATTGTCAAAATAAAAGATATTTACTTATATTTCTTAATAGTATTAGTATATATACTATGTTGTTGTTGGGCTTAGGATTATTCTATAGTAGATGTCTGTGACTTGTTGGTGATAAATTGAACGATAAATGAACAGCAAGCACTTTACTTGTTTTCAAAATAATATACACACAATAGAGATTACAGGCATATCATAAACACTATATACATATAGTTCTTTTCTTGTTGTCAAAAGTCCACTTAGGCCTATTCAGCTGCTTTAGAATTTCAGTTGACAAGCCGAACTATCTTCCCTGTTACTACAGCACTAGTATCCTGTATGTGATTCACTTACAATTGTGACGCGAGTTACCGTAATTGTTTGGTCTTCTTTCTTTAAAATATCCTCTGTTCCATTTCTCAAAGTGTCTCATCTCCTTTTCTACTGTTAGTCTAACTCTAACATATTAAACGTTGGGCCTATCGGTAATTAACTTCACGCCGAACTTTTCCTTTCCCATATTTTTACTCTCTTCTGCTACTGTCTGGTGTTTCCGCTCGTCTTACACTATTTATAAGTTTATCACTTAATCGTCTGCCCACCTTCTAGAAATCTCTATATTCTCGATGTCAAAGTATTGCACGCGACATTCGATAGTCTCAGCATCAATGAATTATACACATAACTTCCTACAATCATCTGCTTTTAACTCTTATTATAGCAAAAACTAAACAATAATAAAATATTCATTCACAAAATAAATAAATCACTTATATCTAAACTAAACAGTCCTTTATATCATAACAAACTGAAACTCTCATCATAATTAACTCTTATTAGCTCATTAACAGTTTTGTTTTTCTATGACTCTAAGTGACAAAAAACTACTTATAGCTAGGAGTCAGAATCATAATGGATCACAGACTTACTTTAGAAGACAACTTCAGAAGAGGAACGCCATGCTTCGCTCTATAGTAATTGTGCCACTGGAGACATTCATCAGGAAACTTACCACTACTCCCACCAGGAGGACGTGGAAGGTATGGGTTTGAGATTTACCGCTTTAGTTGGCTTATGTTTAATGCTCTCAGGTGGGGCTACGGTCAGATAAGATTTCTGGTCAGGAGCTAATTGATTTGAACGTAATTTGATGACTAGGAAGATTTCCATTACTAATTACGTTCGGCTGCTGTTGGTTATAGGTGACGGTTCTCTCTTCTTTTACAATGGTTTTAGCCGTCTTAGGCTTACCGCTTTCGCCTATCGCCGTCGATATGGTACAGTATTTTTGGAATTGTTGATGACAGGGTGGTCCCCGATTGGCACCACTTGTTTGAGAATAGGAGAATTGTACGCGTTCCTCTCGGTTAAACTCCTGCAATATTATAGACTCTTTCAATTACGTCACTCATGTTCACAATCACAGAAGTAAGATATAAAATATAGAAGAAGAAACACGTTTCTTAACTGGTATGGTGATTGTGCCTTTGGTTAACTTGGATAAATTAGTACTTCCTAACGAATAAAGTACTTAATTACTACTAATTAGTGCTTCCATACTAATAAATTACATAATTAATACTAATTAGTACTTACTAATAAATTACTTAATTACTACTAATTCATACTTACTAATAAAGTACTTAATTAATACTAATTAGTACTTACTAATAAATTCTTAATTACTACTAATTCATACTTACTAATAAAGTACTTAATTACTACTAATTAGTGCTTCCATACTAATAAATTACTTAATTAATACTAATTAGTATTTACTAATAAATTACTTAATTACTACTAATTCATACTTACTAATAGAGTACTTAATTAATACTTACTAATAAATTACTTAATTACTACTAATTCATACTTACTAATAAAGTACTTAATTACTACTAATTAGTACTTACTAATAAATTACTTAATTACTTACTAATAAAGTACTTAATTACTACTAATTAGTACTTACCAATAAAGTGCTTAATCACTACTAATTAGTACTTCCTTACTAATAAATTACTTAATTAATACTTAACAATAAAGTAATTAATTACTAGTAATTCATACTTACCAATAAAGTACTTAATTACTACTAATTCATACTTACCAATAAAGTACTTAATTACTAGTAATTCATACTTACTAATAAAGAACTTAATTACTAGTAATTCATACTTACCAATAAAGTACTTAATTACTAGTAATTCATACTTACTAATAAAGTACTTAATTACTACTAATTAGTACTTACTAATAAAGTACTTAATTACTACTAATTAGTACTTACTAATAAAGTACTTAATTACTAGTAATTAGTACTTACTAATAAAGTACTTAATTACTACTAATTAATACTTACCAATAAAGTACTTAATTACTACTAATTAGTACTTACTTACTAATAAAGCACATACTAGTAATGAATTTCAAGTATAGACCAACATTAGAAGCTCATGTCAACGAGAACAACAAAGAACAAAATGTAAAATTATAATATTTTCAGTAAATTGATTGATCTTGTTTGGTAGTATGCTAACACCCGTGTAATATCAAATAAAGGTTGTGTCTATTAGTATGTTGTAATACACATATTATCAACTATTTAATAATAAAGGTTGTGTTTATTAGTTGAAATACACATATTATTAACTATTTAATAATAAAGGTTGTGTTTATTAGTTGAAATACACATATTATTAACTCTTTAATAATAAAAGTTGTGTTTATTAGTTAAAATACACATATTATTAACTATTTAATAATAAAAGTTGTGTTTATTAGTTGAA